TTAAAAGTTCAAGGTCAATTGCATAATACTAATAACTGACGTAGGCAAATATTTTGCATAGTAATAACTTATTACGTACGATTTTATGCAGTTCATGGAACTTGAAATCGGTTGACTTAACATTTACTGGATAAAATTAAATAGGCTTTGAAAGCTAGACGGAACAAGCCTATCTGGTAGGGTTAATAGAAAATTTCAATTTCTGTATAGAACTGGAATAACGTAATATTGTGTAACGGGACGTCAACGGCAGCGTGGCCGAGTGGTCTAAGGCGCTGGTTTTAGGCACCAGTCCGAAAGGGCGTGGGTTCGAATCCCACCGCTGTCAAATTCCTTTTTTGGTTGTAAATAACTTAAAATTTAATTATTGTCTAAACAGTATACGTAGTAAATATAAAAAAAAAACATACAAACGAATTGAGTACCTCCTTCTTTTGGGAAGTCGGTCAAAAAATAGAATATCAAAAATTGAATTTTGGAACTAAACAACCTCACAGCTCACAGGTAACGTATGGCCATTGAACTGGCCGACCAGTATTATTGCTTTGCTTGTACTCATATTATCAAGATTGTATAAAAATTAAATTCCAGCAGATTAGTTCTTCGTCTAAGATCTGTATACCTTAACCAGGTCATCAATTATTTTATAATTACTTTCTGTGGAAAAATTAAATATAAACAAATTCAGCAAATCAATAAAAAAACTTTGTTAACCTTAAACACAAACTTTATTTATTGTTAAAAATACATAATAAATAAATAAAATAAACTTTTTAAATTGACATTTGATAGTTATATAAATGGCGGTGGAATTGCTATTTTTTTGAGGAAATGGCATGAACATTGTGATGGTAAAGCAGGCGGTAGTAATGCAGAAACAGGTGGCGCTAACGGAGAAACTGGCGACGCGGCTGGTAAGAAAGGACTAATTAAAGGATTCTGTGGTATTTCTGGTATCATCACTTCACTAATCGTACCATAACGTGTTAGTACTGGGTCCAAACATCCCAAAATATCAAAAACTGGTTCCGGTACACAATCATTTGTATAATCTGTTAAAACATACTCTGGAACAGGTATCAAAGAGTAACAAGGTTCAGATAGCGTTGGACTTGTCAATGATGGTCCAAGGACTGAATATTCTATAGGAGAAAATTGTTTTGGAAGAGCATTGACGTTCGGTAACACAACTCGAGGTGAAGGTGCCAAAGACGTGGAGGGTACACGCACTTTAGCATACAAGGGCTGTAAAGCAACTGGTGAACTTCCTCGGTTACAAGGGATTGTGACTGGATAGAGTTGACTGTTAACCTGAAAATAATGTTCAAATCAATACATGTTCTTGGAAATTATAATTAAATGTTATAGGAATACTCACTGTACTAATAATAGCAATTAGAATGACTTTTAATATCATTATTGTAATAAGAATAACAAATTAATGTTTAAAATTCAATTCGTATACCTTTATATGTAGTTAATTCTACCAGTTACATTATAGTTTACCTTTGTCGTAATAATTATGTAAGTTGTCTATCTTTCTTTGATTACCAATGGTAATAGTAATTTATGTTGCCATCTTTGATTATCAATGGACAATTATGCATTGATTTCTTGGGTTTCATCTATACTATTATAATAAAGCGAAAACACTCACTTTTTTATTGCCTAAGATGTCAGCAATTACAGCATATTTTGGAATAATCATTTTTTTTAATAAAAAGCCTTACACTTACGTCACGCATTAGGCTATATATTTTCACGCCATTGAAATTAGTGGGTAAATATTTTGGATAAAAGCCCTAATGCGGGAAAGAGACCATAAATTGCTGCCGACATCAAAGAAGCCAGTTGCCAAGGTTTGTCGTCATCATGACATTTGCAATTGATAATTTGACAAATGTGAAAAATAAAATAATTTTTTTATAATGTTATGCGGATGAATTCGCATGGGAACAGCTAGTAATAAATAAAAAATTAAATAATTTTAATGTTTATTTCAATAATTTAAATAAATAAATACATACATCTAATTTAAATCTATAGAGTTGGCGGTGGTATTGGTATTTTGCGTAAAAAGTGACCTCTAGATTGCATTGGAAATGCAGAAGGTAAGAGATTTGATGTAGGTGGTGATAAAGCTGATATAGGTGAGGCTGCAGGTAAGAACGGATTCACTAAACCTTGTGATGCATAGGGACAAACTTCTTTAGTCAACGGCGCTTGAATTTCTCTTGTAATCGGTTGATTAGGCATTGTAAACTTAGACATTATGGTTGCGGAATTTTGTAAGGGCAGTACATTAGAGATGACTTCTACGTTTTGTGGAACTGGTGAATTTTGTATAGGCAAAACATTAGAGGTTAGTTCAACGTTTTGTGGAACATTAAATTGTGAATGGGTTTGTTTGACATATTGTTGATTCGGCATTGTCATACGTTGTAAAGCTCCAATTGGAATTATACGTCTATTCGGTTGTGCTGTTGATGTTTTTTCTTCAACACAAGGTGCATTATTGAGTTGTCGATTGGCTGCCATTTGAATAATCTGCAATGCTTTCTCTGTGTTCGCTGGTGACAGAATATTTTGTAAGGCATTCGCTAAAGCATATTGTTGAGGATCTAAACATGTTATTAATGTTATTTGCGCAAAAATGAGAACTATTCGTGTGTTTAATAACCACATTGTAATCTGAAAGAAAAGACAAAAATTATTTTTTATTTACAACTACTTCGCCCGCGTAAAATCAAAATAGTAAAAATCCATCCTATTACTCAGTGAAAACAGCTTTTTAATGGTGCAAGAGTTTTCGATATCTGTTCAATAGTTTTTGAGTTATTTCAATACATACAAAAATACCAATCTTTCCTCTTTATAATATTAGTATAAATAAAAATATAGATAAGGAAAGTGCATATTGTCACGAATACACAGCATATACGGAGCCGATAAAAATCTGGAGGGTTTTCGACAATATAACATAAAAATTGGCCAATAGTGTACAAACAGCAATAACGTAGTCTATAGGCCAAATCTGAGCGTATACTAATTATAAAGACTGATTGAATTCCAACAAAGCATTTATTGATAGAGGATTATTTTAAATTAAGGACTATTGAATAATAACAATTGTATTTGCTAAAGCTTTAAGCAAACTAAGGCAATCTTACCGTTTTAGTTCAATATGATAAAATATATGCGATAGCTAAAATGCATTCATTTTATAAAAGGAAGTGACATTATGTTAAGCAATTTATATTACTTTATCTTATAAGATTAAATATATGCAGTAATGTTAATTTTTATCAGTCAAATCTAACTTATAACTTATATCTTTATCGTAAGAATATTTTGTAATTAACTTTTAAGATAACATATCTCTCAAACATCATTGAGAGAAGTTGATTGTTATTTTTTTTTAATTAACTATTGGTAGTTAGTTGCAATTAGTGAAGGAAGTCCAAGTTACCTTGTCCAGTATATTTTGTCAAGTAAGGATTTGAATAAACCCCTAGCAAATACTGTGACATTAAGCAAAAAATAGATAAAAACATCAAAACTTTTTAACGTTAAATGTTTATTATTTTTTTATTATACGTCTGCAGAATTTTCATGTTTAAATACTTTTCAGACAAATTTTATAGGTTATTTTCTAGGTAACTTTTAAAGCCCACTAATAAATTACACTTATGTATGTTTTCACATTGAATTATATTTAAAATGGAAATAAAACATTTTTTTTAATAAAACCAACATTTTAATTTATTAAAATTGTTAAAAGAACGGTGGTTGAATTGTAACCTGCCGTAAATATTTGCCACTTCCTAACACGGGCGGCAATGGCGGGATAGTGCACGAATCAAAGATAGATTTTTCTGGAAGATATTCCAAATCTATAAAAGTCGTCTGTGGGAAACCGTCACAACCGAAGAACAAACCATTATACGCATCATCTGGTAAATCTATAAGTAGAGTCTCCGTTATTGTCAAAATACACGTATTTGGAAACGCGTCAAACATTTTTAAATCACTCTCTTGAATAAAGGGATTGGAACTTAAAAATACCATATCACTAAGGGGATCTAAACAGATAATTACTGGTGTTTCAGTAATAGAAGTATGAAACGGGGCTAAGATATCGCCTTCAAAATTATTATTTATTAAAAAAGCCGGTCCATCGTCTATTGGTATTGAAGACAATTTTATGTCTGGTATAGAAAATAATCCAGAGTGTATATCATATTCCAAAGGTAGACACTGGGTTTTAACCTGAAAAGAGAAGTATTAATTTTAACTTGTTATTTATTCTGCTAAAAAGGAACTATAAATCGGGTCTTATTATTATAAATGGAATCGCTACTTTAGATGTCAACTAATTTCTTTTTTAGATACGTTTTATTTGCAAATTAGCTCCTTGGTAAGGCAAATAACCTAAAAAATAACAAGTAAAATTTGTCCCATAGCCATTGTAACCTCAATATGACATTAGAAACATTATTTTAGTTTTATTCTTAGACACTGTATTACTTACCTTGTTAAAAATAAATGTAATTAATATTATTTCTTTCAACATTATAGTCGTAGTCTATAAATCTAGCAATTTTTTAAACTAGGCATAAATTATAATTTATGTATGTTTTATTGATAATTTATTACACCATAAACTATGTCGTTAGATATTATTTCTGAGAATTATTACATATCGAGCCTATTTATTATATAATTGTACAATAAGTACATTTCATTGTAATGACTGATAACATTTGAAGTAAATTAGTAGACTTTTGAGGTTAGTTGATTTTAATTTATTAAATTATAAACTCATAATCATACTATAGCTGCAATAACCTAAATGGGATAATAGCCAACAGGAATATTGTTAATTACTTCAAAACAAAAAACTTCAAATTATAAAAGCAAAAAACAATACTATTTTTAGACCCCATCAATTATGAAACTAAACTTTAGGTTTTTTAGGAGAGTAAAATAATAAAAAGTCATCAAACATCAATATCGATTTAATATAAAAATATGTGAACATCCAACCTATAAACTAAAACAATGTCTTAAATACACAAACTGCACTGTACAGTTCTGTCCAAACTAAATGCGGTTAAAACCTCCACCTCATTACACATAGTATGCAATGGTGGAACTTGTATCCTAGATATTCTGCGCTGGAGGTGGTTTGCCGCTTGCTAACACTGATTTCATTGTCTTCATCATGCTCGGTAACAAGTCCATGTGTTTATCTACACATCTAACTGCACACTTCTCGAAATTAATTGTACATTTATCAACCTAAAAGTATAAAAAATTAAGTATGTGGAACATGCAATATGTCACCTCTTAGATAACTGTAACAGAGATTGATTAACCCTTATTTAATGGTGTTTTGTTATAAAAAAAAATTTTGAATGTTGCCAACACACTAAAATAAAACCACACAAATTTTCATCTAAACTAATACAGTCAATGTTTATTAATTAGTTGCTTGACACATAGGACTCTATGAAATTAAGGGATAATATGAAAATGTTGTTTGGCGAAGAAATTAAATAAAAAAACTTTTATATATATTTATAACATGAGTAAAAAGCAAGGTATAAAAAATTGTGTATGTTAAAACAATTATGTTTTTATAGTCTATAAACATTGGTCTTAAAGAGCATGGATACTGGCTGCATAACCTCAGGGCCGTATAGTCTCAAGATTGTGTGAAGCCATGGGTAACTAAACGAAAATTAATGATCTACAGATCAGGTCTAGCAGATCAGTGAACCGACATCCAAATAATCGAACAGCTTGTTGTCTGTTTTATAGTTATAGTACATCTCAGTGAGTCATGACCTGCTATTTTTTTTTGTTGAGCCGCAGCTCAACTATTCAAGACTATGTTAGCTGATCTGTTGAACTGATTAACAGCTGATTTACACACATCTACTAGTATGTCACAGTGGACCTTACTATGGTTTTTTACTACATAAACACTTCAACAAAAACACATTGTCATCCTCCTCTTTCTTATAACTGAGATGTTTACAAACAGGTGTAACAGCTATGAAAATTTACGATAACACTCAGTTTGAGACAAAGAACATATTAAAGTGTATTCTACTATTTAGGTTTCTCTTTATTTTACTCTAAGCTTGGCAGAGATAAATTTACCATTGAGATAATATAAGTAAAGATGTAACTGACCGTTTCCTGGCTCGGATTGGCTCCTAGATTGTCCCTTGCTGCATCATTACAGTCCATTACGCATCTCTGCAATCTGTTTTGGAAGTGATTGATTTCACCCTGAAATTATAGTTAAATAATTGAATTAATCACATTACATCAATTTAAACATAAATTCACTCAAGGGGGATATATTTTGATATTGTAAACAAACTTTGCAATATGCAATGTTATTAAGGACTCATAATGCAATATATATATTTAAAGAGGCTTTCTACTAGTATGTGTCCTATAATTTTACTAATGTCATAAATATAAAAGTATATCCAGAATGGGTAAATAGATCTTGTTGAAATTTAGCACAGATGTCAAACACATTAAGGAAGAACATACAGGCTACTTAAAAAGTTTTTTCTAAGTATCAATGGATAGAGTTTCAGGTAAAATCTTATAATTAAGGTAAATTAAATGAAGTTCTGTAGTTATCTTTTACTGAATTCAAGAATGTGGATTTTATTAATCAATACAGTTTATTTAACTAAAGGTAACAATTCTTACCTGTACATATTCATTAGCCTGATTTAATGCAGTTGTACAATTATCTATGCAACCATGTACTCTTTCTAATGACGTTTGTGGATCATCGCAACATTTTGCTGCACATCTATGCATGTCACCCTGGAATTTTGTGTTAATACATTTTATTTAGTAATTACTTATAACTCTTTTTGTTGTGAGCTTAAATTTTAATGAAATATTTCAGTATTGAAATATGATGACTTAATTGTATACATTAATCTTAACTTTGAGAAAATAATCGTAAAATTGTAAACTATGAAATAATGGCAGACCGATATCTTTATGTTCTTGTTTCACATTTAATTTATTAATTCTTATGTTTGGCCTAGTCCTTATTGAAATTATTGCCTAAAATTTATTTGCTTACTTTTTGACCGACTTCCCAAAAGAAGGAGGTACTCAATTCGTCTGTTTTTTTTTTAGTTCTAATAATAAAATTTAAACAAAAGGTTTTCTTAGTATCCGCTGCACTAATTTATTAAAGTATTAGTTAAATAAACGTAAAATTATGCAAGAGTTGCAAAAAGAGACATTTACGGGAATGCTGGTTTTTGTCAAGTTTCATCATGCATCATCATCCACTTGCCCTTATCCCTTACGGGGGGTCGGCACAGTATGTGCTGTCAAGTTTCATTATGCAATATACAAATTATATACTAATTTCAATTTGTATTTTTTTTCTATCTCACGTGTAAATCATATTATAATCTAAATAAATTGCATATCTGATGCCGACATCATAACCTAAAATATCTCACCTGCATTTTTCTCAAATAAGTTTTATCCAATTCATTGATCAATTTAGTCATTTCCTGTTCGATTCTATACTTTTGTGCTTCCACCATTTTTACTGTTTTATCTAAGGTTTCAAGTTAAATAAAAAATCCGAAAAAACAGGAACAATGTTTTAAGTCCCATAAGATTTGAATTGACAGTTGACAGTTCATAATAATGTGATCAGAAATCAGAATAACAGATGTGTGTTGTCTATGGTAAAATTTAAAAACGCACAATTCAGAAAAAAGTATTTTTATTGTATTGTATATTTATTTTTATTGTACTATTATTGAACTATAAATACATGATTTCTGGTTCGGATGTTCTTCGACTTGTTTTATATTTTTTACAAAATAATTGGATTAATCAGTTGACCGAGATAAGGACATAATGGAGAAGCCAGTGAAATGCAGCTATCTGCATGATTCATGGGTATAACTAAGTCATCCATTTCTTGAATTATTCCACTATAGTAAAGGCTTCTTAAATATGCAGATTTCACGTCCGGTACTGCTGCAGGAAAATAGCCTAGACCACTAGGCAATTGAACTGTATTAGGTGGAAGAATCAGTTGTTTATTTAATTTCTCCCTTTCATAGTAAATTTTACATATCTCATCAATGTTGGAAGGCCGAGGAGTGCATAGAGGATTTCTTAAAACCAATTTGGTTGCAAAACTTCCTGTAAACTGTAATTAATAGTTATATCAATTATACTTGATTAAAGCAATACAAAAATCGAATAACAATAAAACTGACTTACTATTTCAGCAATAAGAGGTAACAAAACTAACAACACAGACCCGAACATTTTGTTATACCTTTCAATCTACGTTTAATAGCGCCAAAACAATTTAAAAAAATGTAATTCACCTTAAATACGTTATTTTAAGTGTGATTACGTATAACAGATGTTGTAAAATATGAAAAGGGAGGGTTTTATTGAAATAAAGAAATAGATGTTGTAGGTATAACATAAATTTATTTTATGAACTCCCTTTTGAAATGTTCTCCCCTTATATAATTTGCAAAGAAACATCAAAAACAGTTTATCTAATTGAGTTTCGATATATTTTATTTATTCTCTACAGGATGAATGCAAAATTTAAGATAGTTTTGGTTTTTGTTTACATAATTCCTATAGTATTTTTTCTATAATATCAACTAACTATTATCATACAAAATATTGCAATAATTATGTAATTTATCTAAAAGTGAAATGCGATCGGATGACTTCTTGATACGACACGATTGGAAGATAAGTCATGTTTAAATATTGAGTACTTTTCAATGTAATAGCCAAAGTATAAGAAGCTTCAGTAAGAATATATCGCTGATTAACAATAAAAATCATGCAGCATTGGTTGTTATTGTTGTGTCTGGCTGTTATTTTGTTTCAGGTATTATTGTTGAGTTTTTTTATCTTGTTTACCATAGACAATTATTCTCTTCTTATTTTTCAAACGTGTCTAAAAACTTTATATTTCAGTTTGCAAACGCACAATGCGTGAACCGACCACCGCCATGCAGTATAATGAACGAAGCTATGATGGAAGCACCAAGAAATATACCTCAACCTATAACGCCATCTTTTGCTGCGCAGGGTACAATTGTGGAAAACCCTTGTAATGTCTGCAACTCCTTACACCAAATTCCAAATGCAAATTACTTCCCTGCGCCTACAACTATTATAACAGATTATTCTCCAGCTATTTGCAAACATTTAGCTGATACTCTACAATTGATGGTTGTTTGTAATCTATTACAAGGGAATAGAGGATCATCTGAACTGGCTATGAGACTAGCATCTCCTATTATTAAGGAAGTGTTAACATCGCCAACGTTTTCGCGTGCTGCGATCAATTCTAATGCATTTCCAAATATGATCACTCCACCTTTGAGTCCTAATTTTATTCCTCCGATCACTAATTCGTTACCTCTAATGCAAGCACCAAGCCCATGTAACAAAGACTTGCTGCCAAATATTTTAAGTTTATTACGTAATTTAAAATAAATGTATAATAGGATTATTAAATAGTAACTTATTACAAAAATAAATTATTTATGTTGTTAATTTGCTTTTTATTCCTAGGTTAAGTAGTTTGGTCTGAAGCTTATTGTAAGCTAATGAATACAACTAACATATTATATGATATATCTAACTACGGGCTATAGGTTTAACTGTAACCTAGTTCATTTTTCTTAGTTTAAGTTAACATGAGCATATCCATGTGGTTTTCTTGTGAAATACGCAAAAAACATCAAATTATACTTTAGTTCCTTCGGGATAAAAATAACTGCCACCTAAAGTAACACAAAAAATCTGTACAACTTTTCTTTTCCATAGGGAATGTTTAAACAAACATCGTAAAAAAACTTTGTAAACTTCAAAACTTGGCTACTAAAAAAATGCTTATGAACAACATCAAACAATTTCATTTTCAAACTATGCGTGTATGATTTTTTCTTAGTATCAAAGTGATGTTTCTTTGTTAATCAATATGAAAGAGAAATAAAACACGTCGTATTTTGTTTTTAAAGTGTTGAAAAAAAAACAAAGCTTTACGGATTTACAATTAGCTTTAATAACACAAAACATAACAAACAAATGTATTCATTAAGTTAATAATAATATGTATTTCCCACAATATTGTTGCCATAACTACATCCACAGGGAATAGGATCCACGCTGACAAATGGTAGAGATGTTGGCATATTTCCAACATTACACATTTGAGCTGGAATATTTGTGGGATACAAAATCTCTGTAGTCACAGGTCCTACTGAGATTCTAGGACCTATCACATCATTCAAACCATTATAGCAATTTGGTACAACAGGTGCCATTTGTACTGGTCCAATAATTTCTGGCATTCCATACATTGGCGTAACATTTGTCACATATTCATTAAATCCACAATAATTTGTCGGTGCATTAACTGGTATTTGGGTAACACATTCCCCGTAGAAGTTCGGCAATGGCTCGATAAAAGTTGCACAAGGTGGTGCAAATTCAAATATAGGTCCAGGCGGTGCAAAATCTATAACAGGTCCGTATTGTGGTATTATATCAAATAGTGGAGGACAAGGTGGTGCAAAATCTATAATCGGTGCAGGTAAATAATCTATAACAGGTCCGAATTGTGGTACAAAATCAAACATGGGAGGACAAGGTGGTTTTAAATCGATCACAGTCGGACAAGAAGGTGAATAATCGATAGGTCCGTACTGAGGTATGAAATCAAAAGGTGGAATACACGGTGGTTTAAAATCAATTGGTGTACATGGTGGTACGTAATCAATTACTGGACCATGACGTGGTAGAATGTCTACTTTTGGGCCTCTTGGAACATAATCTATTGTAGAACAAGGCGGTGAAAAGAATTCTGTACATGGTGTTACTTCGACTGTTGGTGTGTAGACAATCGGTTGTACAACCGGCTCACAGACAGGAGTAACAGGTACGGAGTGATGTCCTAATGCAGTATTTAATGTTGATTCTATTAAATCACTGACGATTAACAATTGCAGAACATTTGCGAGAGCGCTTGATAAGGAATTATCAATTATAGTGGTTCCAACTGCAGGTGTAACTGATTGTAACAACGAGGGGTTTGGGCACACAGGTGGGTGCAACGGCGGCGGCGGTAATATCGGAGGACCACAAAATTGCGCTTGTACCTGAAATAAATACATTTTTTAAAATTTTTGCTGATAATAAAATAACAAACATCTGTATCCCAAATGGGTAGGAAGAGAGGATGGGCTTTCATTTGGCGAGGTCCTGGCAGATTGTAAAATATTTTTTATTTTTAAAAATTAAGGATAAAAGGTAGAGTAGTAGCGATAACTAAATACTAATTGAAAAAAAATACGAATATTTTTCTGTTATCCAAAAATATAAGTAGAAGAAGTAATTCATACTTATTTTATGTCTATATTGCACTAAAAAACGTTTGACTGATTAATTTTATTACCTTGTATAACAAAAGTGCGATCGCTAAAACCACGGTCACAATCTTCATTTTCACTGATTAACCCTTGAATTACATATTATTCCTTTATATATTAGTGTTTAGTTAGAAATGCCTGCTTGTTGACCTAATAATTTACAAAACAACGATAATTGTTACAATTCAAAGAATTATTATGATAAAATAATCGAAATATTGACACAATTAATTTATGATGCAAAAGTGCTTATATACTCGTATTAATTTATTTTTAATTAATATTTTTAAACGTAACATGGCATGGCATGACATCGTACCAACTTAATCTATAATAAAAGATAAAAAATACGGTTGTTCAAGTCGAAAAAACAACTTTTAATTAACAATACAGACGAACATCAAATAATGCGATATGTTTTCATTAATAATTTGTCTATTGTTGGAGAAAACCAGCATGTTTATTTCATCTGTCTCAATAGTCCATTGTAGACACAAAAAATAAACTTGTCTATAAACCCTAAAAAAATACATAAAAATAGCATAAACTCTTTTAGGTTATAATTTTTGAATTAACTGTGAAATTTAGTTCAAAAATTAAATTTGAATTAATTTTTTATAATAATTGTAATTGTATAAAACAGTTAGGTTATCTCAACACGGTTTTATTTCATAAGAAATTGTATTTAAATTGTTATTATATTTTGTCACGTACGATTATTATCGATAATAATGATGACATTAAATACTTGGTCGAATATTATCGTATAAAAGAACTTGCAACAGAAAATCTGTACACAATCAAGAAAGTTACAAATATGAAGATAACATTATATTCATTGTGTACATTTATAATTCTAAAGGTAATTAATATAATTAAAATATTATATAACAAATGACGTAAGAAGCAGGACCCTTTTCTTAGAATCTCATACATATTTTGTAAGATTATTTGCCAAGATTCGTATAATATCAAATACAAAACAAGAATGTAGCTTTCGCGTTTGATTGTACAAAACTGTTTATACCTTTTACATTTGTGAGGTTATCTAGAAATTTATAGAAAATCCTTATTTAATATTTTATTTTTTCTATCTCATTGAATCTTTAAAAAAAACCTTTTTTTCAATTGCTAAAATTTAGTCATCTGTTTTTCAGCTAGCCTCCACACAATATATCGTACAACCTCAAAAGACATTAACAGATGTAATAAC